CAAATATGAGGTTGCATGCCTCAGTCATGGCTTTGTTGTGCTCTTATGTCAGGAATAAGTGCTAAAATGAAGGCGGAACAGCTGTTTGATCATGTTGATTGCCTGCTTGAAACTCATATTTACTGACTTCCCAGCACTGTTAAGCGCTGAGTTAAAGTACTCAGCAATTTCGTGCACTTTTTTTCTTTCTTTCAATTTCTTATGGCTCGATAAATTCCATCCTGAACTGCTATCCCTTGTTCTCCCTTCATGTACAAATATTTCATGTTTCGAAGTAAAAATTAAACCGCTTTCTGATCGCCCTTGTGATAATGGTGGACTGGCAAATGGCGCCGCTGCGGTTCATGGTCCGTGGTTCGACTTGGTTCTGACTGCGATCAAACCAAACAAATTCTGCCTTCTTTTAGTGTCGAATGATCGGCACTGATTTTGCTTGAAGAGATAAAGCGACTTGCGCAATTCATATCTTGGAGATGGGGAGGGCGTGGTTGCGTACTTCGACGGTTCCTGCGACGGCTGCGCTTTTGCTAAGACATCGCTGTTTTGGGACATTTGCAATCATACCTTTGTTGAGCACAAAACAGGACGACGGCTGTATCGAACGGAAACATCCGTCGAAAAATGCAGCCTGCACATGCTTAAATGAAGTAAGCACTCGCACCCTCCGTATCATCTGCATATGGAGTGTACGTCACTTGTCCATAGTATAGGGTATAGGCCAAAAACAACTGCGTTTTCGGAGAAGAGTCTAGTGCGCAGCGCATACGAATGGAGCTTGGTAGTCGTTGAGTACTTTGCCTTCTTCGAGCGAAGTCAAAGCAATTATTTCGTTTTCCAGGTGCTTAAAGCCCAAACAACATTACTTGAGAACATTGTTGTCTCAACTAGTTTCAAATGCCCCCACAGGCTTTCGTGTTCATCCACAAGTTGGGACTGGTAAAGTGGAAATGATACGGCGTCAGTAGTTCTACGGTGCCTACGGTACCCATTTCTTCATGCTCTCGAATTTAAGCAGTTCCTTCCTTCTACCCTGGTCCACAATTATTGCCACTTTCGTCTGCCATACTATGATGAAATTTCTTCTCCGAGAGGTACACTCTATATCCCGAAAACGGGGAGGGCGTGGCTGCTACTTAATTTGAGCTCCCAATTAATTAATTCTTATTCAAGTTAATATTTCCATTTGGGAGAATTGTCATCCTGTCTTTTACTACGCAAACATTATAATTGTCTCAAAACAAAAATGTCCCTTCAAAAGCGTAGACGCCATGTTCGATTGAAATGCGCAGTCACGCCCTCCCCATTTCTGGGACATAGAGCATAACTAATCTTGTGAATAGTGTACGATCTCTCTCCTAACCGTGTGACGCCGCCATCGCGATTCAGGCAGTTAGTTATCCTTTGTGCTTTTTTGCGGAGCCAGACCCGACGTGAGCGGGTGCGTCCATTTGAATGAATTTCATGTTGAGTTTGTATAGGTTTATGGCTGATTAGAACCACATTCCATGGTTTCAGAAGAGCGGAGACAAAGAATTCTCCACTGCCCCACCCCCCTTCCTCTTAATACTGCTGCATTACAAAGAAGAGGGGGCACCAGGAAGTAAGGCACAGTTGCAGTGCCAGACTCCACCCTATACGGTCTTGTGCAGCTGCGCCTCGCAAAGGCATGAGGCACTATATCGCTCTTTAAATAAATAGCAGGGAGCTGTGGTAAAGGGAAATGGCGCAAATCGAAGTAAACCGGTCAGAAGCCTGAGAAAAATAGGCCTTCGTTCTGGCGCCGACTCAGGAATCAGTTTCGGAACAGAGTTCCCGTTGGCACCTGCCATAGCCGCTACGCGGCTGCATGTATGCCCCCATGTATGTATCCAAGCAGCACCGCAGCCGCTTCATACGCACATCGCAAATGAAGTGATATGAACATCAGCATCGGTCGGACATTGTGGGTGTGCGGCGGCGGTTGGGCGGTGCAGGATCGTATTGTTGCAGCTTGATTAGAGTGCTAATCGAGGTAGCCTTCCTTTGGAATAAGAAGCATCAGCGCCTGTTGCAGTGGCCGGAAATCTTCCTGATCGGCATATTAATTTTGATATCCGTCTCAAGGAAGTTATTTCGTGCCATGCTTGCCTTCTCAAGCATTTTTTCCTCGTTCTGTGTTCGCCGGCTGCATTGGGGCACAGGGACGTGGTGAGTGCCTGTGGGGCTGGCGGAACAAAGCCATTGATGCTTGAGATGGGGTTAGAGGCGGCCGTCGGTTGCGGTTAAACGGTTAGCAATCATCCTAGCAGGCTGTTTACCCACCGCCTTTCTTTTGTCTGATACTGTGTCACCTTTTGCGCTAAGCAGCGTAATATCGAAAAAGTCGCAGGTTGAGGATACGCGAATTATCGCTGATCATTTTAAGTATCGGGAGTAAATATAGCTCAAGTGCGAGGTGGATTTCAGTGATAAATGACCACACCCACTCAATTCGATTTCTTCTTTCAGGATAACGGCCCATAAATATTCCATATCTGAGGCCAAAAAAGGCATTTCCATTACGCAGCTGTGAGCGCAGCGACGGCAGTGATGGTCCAGGCGGGAGAGAGGCGGAAACATGTGTATAACAGAGCAGACGAGGCACATCAATACATAGGCGTCGCACCTTTTTCCATAGTTGTGGACTGTACTTGTTCGGCTCATTTCAGCGGTTTATGGGCACTTTAGCACGCGAGTTTGTGTGCCTGAAATTAAATCCAATGCTACAGAGCCGCCATATAGGTTTTTCTCTTCGGAGATGGTTGAAATCATCGTTGATCATCGTTGAATTGCACTCATCATCCTTGCAAACGCTAGAGCCTGTAAAGGGCCATGGTTTGGAGAGCAGCCACGGTAGCCTTTCCCATGAATTATCATTGAATGGTTACACCTGTGACACCATGCTGCTGAGTGTACAGAATGGAAACATTGATGGGAAAAGGCTGCACTGCCTTTGCTGCAATCCATGCTCTCTCACACGCCCTCTCTTTTCGCAGAGCCTATGGCAGTACCCATGAGAATCTTCCGTCACGTCGAACCCATGAGAATCTTCTGTCACGTCGAACTTATATTATGAACAAAGTTGCTTGCTGGTAACCTCCAGATAAGCCCCACAATAAGTTGACCACGGCCTAACACCCAAAAAAGCGTTCTATACCCTCAGCCGTCTCAGTTGTCCGTAATTTTCCCTTTCCCATACTCACAGACGCCTAAAAAAGCCATTGTGGTTCTGCTTGTCCGGACACAAAAATATGCAGACAAAAGGGATCCGCTACTTCTGTATTCACGTTTCTTGGTTTTTCACTTTTCATTGACGCTATATACCCCTTCTCCCCCTCGCCGCTCGACAGCAGTTTCCCGGGGATAACTGGAGGATTTTGGATGGGATATTAGCGGAGGAAAATCCAAAAGGAGAGGTCGTATATCAAAATTTCCCCCCAACGGCGGGGCGTACCTTATTCCAATTTATTCGGAGGTATAACGTTACTTCCTAGACTCAGTAAGCGCCAAGTAATGTGCGCGGTATTCTTATTAGGACCCACTCCAATCGACGTGGCAGCGCAGCGGTGTGTCTCTCTCTCTCTCTCTCTTTTCCTGTCTCTCTCTCTCTCTTTCTCTCTTCCGTCTGTGTGCTGCTCAGCCGTCAAGTAGGGGCTAGGAGTAGTGTGCTGTCCGAGGCCATCGACATGAATCGGCGTTCGATCATATAATAAAAATTCAAGCAAAAAAGTTTTGTTTTTCAGAGATGTATGACGAGATTGTTACAGGCTTCACGAGCAACGCCAGAGGCAACCAGCGGGTCGACATCTCACTTTGCTCAGGCATAGGTGAGGTTCATGCAGACTATTTAAAATATGCTATTGGAAATAAGCAAGTGTTCGATTACACATTGGGGGGCGGCGACAATGTGTGGATGTAGTGCGGCAACCTGAGCATCTTTTCGGCAGCAGTGCGCTTATTATGAGGCTCAGAACGGGCATAATTCGGTCGGAAATCGGCCTGCTGGCTTGGCTGTGGAAAGGGCGTATTAGTCTACCTTGCCAGCTGGTTCAATAATTCCATTTTCACTGGCTAAAAAGGGCTGCTGGGGCCTGAGGCGATGATTCGGCCTCAGGCAAGCCTCACCTACGGTTGGCGGTCACACTGAAAGTGGACGCCTTTTGCATTTGTTCCATCGTGGGGAAATTGACATCTGTGATCTCACAGGCCTTTTTACTCCTTAATTCTTTGCTCTCATCTCTGCGCCTTTGGGCTTCCGCAGTTCTCATTATAACACGCACGTTCACCCGCAGCGCACAAGACTGTACTTTTCTCTTCACTGCGTGCTCTTTCAACCCCTAGTAGGTGGGCCCGATTCCACCCCCTCCGCCCTAGTTCACTCCTCATCGAACTGTCGAAAGAGGTGGGAGGGTCGGGGGGGGGGGTAATAGTTAATATGAAACAGTAAAAACCTGCAAAAATTAATCGGACCGGCTTCTCAGAGCGCCAGACGGCATACGACTCCCCCTCTCAGCAACGGGCAAATACCGAGCCCCTTATAGCCGTCCCTTGAAACAACAAAAAATCACATCAACAGTCTACTGAATGAATCAAACAGATTTATTCGCACATACGACTCCACCAGCGCCAGTACGTATGTCCCTCCGCCTTGTTGGCGATCCAACGATTGATGTACCCTGATCGAATACCACTTCAAATGGATCTCGAATACATGGCGCATTCCGAATGAAACTAGTTAGTTGAAACTAGTTAGTTGAAGCTAACTATTTCAACTTTTTCTCAGGATTAACTCATCAGAATTAAATCACATGAAAGTGCGTAGCCATCACAGCGACACACTGCGTGACCCTTGCTTTGGCAGAGATTTGATCAAATCGATACAGTTCAGGCCTCAGCTCCATCCTGCTCGCACCACGTATCTGCTCCACCACCTTATGTGGCATACAGCACGAACGCGTCAGCGTCGAAGCTCTACAGCTGTCCATCGATATGTAATCCAGTTTGCCAATATGCAGTGATCCTGCTGCTCTATTCAGGTAATTTTATCGTTTTGTTTTCAAAAATGGCCATCGTTAAGGGCACATTCCGCGCCTAATCCAGAATAATGTTAATGGTTGTAAGGTCTCACTCAATTGACGGGCTGCTCCTGTTCATATCGTTGAAAACCGTGGCGCACCAATAAGAGGCGCACAATCCTATCCCGTCCACGCCCATCCGGTTATCGCGGAATTGACCCTAAGTTGGTCACTACGTATCGTAACTTGAAGAGACCCTTTTGGTTTTTATCTTTCAGTCGTTTTTCTGGCGGTTGCTGTCCTCTCTGCTATTTATCTCGACGCCTTTCTTTCATACTATTCCACTTTATGGACCGCGGTGATATCTACTATAAACTCTATGGTAAGCGATTGGTACCATATAGGGTGCAGCAATACTATCGCTTTTCTGCTGAAAGCAGGACCAGCTTGAATTCACACTGTCCGAGAGTCTAGTTATAGTCGTTATCCACAAATTCAGGCCACAGGGCGTGTCAGGACGGCTGGATATGGCGCAGCACCAGCCGTTTTCCACCAATTCTTGTCGCTTGCCGGCTCGAACCGTTGCTGGAGCACGGGCATCATGAATGATATTGATTCCACCCCCTGCGCCAAATCCTGCCACCCGACACGCCCCTGGTATCTGCATTGAAAATGACTAAATGACAATTCACGATAGACCCATTCCTCCAACTTGATTCGTAAAATCCCTCTTTTGACCGAGTGCTGTGTCCACAATCTCAGTGGCTGTCCTACGATCGCAGCTTAACCGTGAGTGGCGGCGGGGGGGTTTGGAGGGAAGCCGCTGCAACTGCCATCAGCCGGAGCAAGGTCATCCGTAGAAGCTGCGCCACCCATCATGGATGATATGCCAGCGCTTCCATATCTATAAAGGCAGTGTACGTCTGTGCTCCTATTCTTTTGCAGTGACCTTTAGCATCTCGTTAAGCTTTGAGCTTGTCTTCCTGCTTATTATTCTTGTTTTCTGTCTATTCTATGGAGCAGATGTCGCGCTTCTGCGAATACCGCGTCCAATCTTGGTACCTCACTTGAAGTTTCTACGTCGAATTGTTCCACTCTGTACTTCACTAGTAGGTCACTCGTCATCCACAAGTTCGTACTTGTACCCTCACGTTAAGGGCTGTATTCAAGCAGATATGGTACCTCTTCAAGTTCAGGGGCCACCTTGATTTTTTCAGGCTATGGATTTCGTCCTGCAGCGAGTCGCGATTTTAGTTTCTTTTAGCTTACTGTTGGTGTTTTCAGAAAATGAAGAAATAAAATGACAAAAGGTTAAATAAGTAACTAATAAATAAAATTATTATGAAATTGAAAAATTGGAGAAATGTTTCTTTTTGGAAAATTTTCAACACTGGCATTTCTAGATTGGAATAATTGCTGGGATTTCAAATAACGATCGCTTTCTATTGGCACATCTGATTCTATCCTTGGATATCCATGGCCGCCTACACAGCTTGTGGCGTAATCTGCTGGAGGTGAGCCATCAGAAGTTCATAAAATCTCTAGGGGTCAGAAGACTCGAGTTCGGCACAGCTAAAGCAAAAGTGAAAAGAGCTAATAAAAAACGCCGCCCTGAAGTATGATTCCATTATAGTATTCCTACCCTGATTTTGAATCGTACCTTTATATGAAAATGACTCGAAAAGTTTTCCGTCAAATTGCATGGTAGCCCTACTGAATATATCGGGAAGGAACGGGACCGCGGCCTTCACTGGCCAATGCTCTCTAGTCTTCAGATTCTTCTTGCTTGTCTATTTTGGAAAAAGAGATCAACTCAAAGGCAGTATGTGCAGGAGACAGAGCAGATGTTCAAAAATTTTTTTGCTCGAGGGGATTTTAAGTCCTTCTTGTCGTGTAGGCTTCAGACCGCATCCTCAGCTCTTTAGGAGGTGTTGCCCAGTTCCCTACCATCACCTGCCTACCAATAGCACTTGCATTTCTGTTCCGTCTACTGGCTTTTGCACCCACTATTTTCAGATTCAGGCGATCGAAATATTCTTTCTTTCAGGGATTTTATGAAAATAGGAACCACAGCATGGTGCGAAGAAAATCCGTATTTTTGTGATAACAATATGTTCTGTTTATTACCCGCATATGATCATAAAAGGTAGGATTTGCTTTCGGTCTGCCACCCAC